CATAAAAACACTGCAGGATTTCTCAAACATGATGAATGAGTCAGAGCAAGGCTTTGGACATGTTTTTATGAGAGTATAACATTGTAACGTGATATAAAACTCAAAAAAGTTGATTTTACATGATATTGACCCTTTAAATATGAAAAACCTATTAGGAAAATTATTAATCTTTAATCTCAAAGCTACAGGTTAATAATCCAGCCTGTTGCTGGTTTAAATCCTACCAGGTTCCTGAACACACAGCCAGAAGCCATGAACCTAACTATAGGAGGAGTGGTGTTTTCTGCCCCCCCTGATTACGGCGTGTCTTCTAACCAGAGCGTGAAACGAGGAGAGTGAGTACACCTGAGAAACATTTGGGTTTAAAMTGGAGGAGAAACGTTCAGAAGCAGATGTTTGGATGGTTTTCTGCTTTAAGACAGAACCAAATGTTGAAATTATTTTGAATTTATTAAAAATATTTTTTCTTTTAAGAGTGCTCAGAAAAATTGCTTTGTAAACTTGTCCTTTAATTCCTGCTCTATCGTCTGCAGACACTCAGTGAAGTGCAACACTCAGTCAGCGGACTGTGGACATCTCTACCTGGGCCTGCTGGACTTTGGAGCTTCTTACACTTTTATACTCATAAATGTCAGGATGTTTCCTTTTCCTTTGAAATGTTTTACAAAAAGAACGTGCTCCATGACTTGACAAAGCTTGTGCGTGTGCCTCGTCAGGAATCAGGGAAAATTGCGGCTAAAAGGATGGTGGACGTGACCGCCAACAACGTGCACATCGCCTGGCAGATCCCTCAGTACGCCCTCATCACTGCAGGAGAAGTCATGTTCTCCATCACAGGCCTGGAGTTCTCCTACTCACAGGTTCTTACACTCAGACTACAACATGAGCAACAACTCTGAGGATTAAACACTCCAAGACTTATTTGGAAACAAAAGATCTGCTGTATTCATATTGGATTAACTAGAATTATTGCAATAATCCAGGCCAAAGGCAGTAATATCAGCAGATGTGTGSTGCAACAAGTAAAAATAATAATAATAATAAAAAACCTGAGGTGGCAGGAAGCAGTTTGTTAGGTTTTATTGGGTTTTCAGCCAAACAGAAATGATTTCATCTTTAGGAACTCAGGAGTTTTGACACTTTGCCTGTCTGGAGCTTACAGGTGTGTTAACACTGTTAGCAGTGGTGGGCAGCACTAATCCAAAACCGCAATTTCTAAAGCACTTATGAAAATATTTAGATCCGCAACTTCAAAAACATTTATGCCATAGAAAATTAGCAGAAGCTAATTTTAAAGCACAAGTTCAAGTTGACATTTACTAGCTGAAAATTCATGTACAATATATGTACAACACTGCCAACTAG